CAGAGCCAGCCCTAGGTATAATGCGTTGCAGTAATCTAACCTTGAGGTTACCAGAGCACAGACAACAGTAGTTAAGCTATCCCTGCCCCGCAACATCTGGAGGGACACATGTCCTTTTACCCTTTCAGTAGTGATCCCAGCCCACCAGTTGAAGACCAATCACTCACACAGAGTGCTAAGCCAACCCTGGTTTCCTGCCTCAATTTCTGGTGCGTAGCAGGGCAGACTAAATTTGAAGAGGACAGTAATTCATACAGTGAATCTTTATCCTCATGGAAGTTATCCCCACCCCTCTTTCTGTTCAAACTCTGCCCTTGCCTGAAAGCCTCTTCCTTTTGTTCACTGTCCTATGACATTCTCTTCCTTTCCTCTGCTGAGTGTCTCAGGCAAACAGGTACTTCTCATAAGGCAGAGGTTTCACTCCCATAAGGTAAAGGTAAAGGGACCCCTGACCGTTAGGTCCAGTCGTGACCGACTCTGGAGTTGTGCACTCATCTCGCTCTATAGGCCAATGGAGGTGGGTCATGTGGCCAGCATGACTAAGCCACTTCTGGCGAACCAGAGCAGCGCATGGAAATGCCGTTTACCTTCCCGCCGGAGCTGTACCTATTTATCTACTTGCACTTGACGTGCTTTCGAACTGCTAGGTGGGCAGGAGAACTGCCGACCTTCTGATCAGCAAGCCCTAGGCTCTGACCCCATCACTCCCATAAGACCAACACTAATTTTTTAAAAAAGAGGTTTCAGACCTACTGAGTTTCTTTTCTATTGCTGAGCTCAGCATGAAAGCTAATTTTGTTAAATAAGACCTATTCCTGTTCTTGTTGCAACTGCAAACTAGCCTTGATTGCTAATCAAAATGCAGAATTTATTGAGCAATCTAACCTAATTATAGGAGATTATGTGTGTGTGGTTTTTGTAACGGTAACTGACTATGAAAGCTGATTTGTGACAAAGATGTTTTCATAAGCGTTGTAGTTTCAGGGGTTTTTTTGTTTTTGTTTTTAAAAAAGGACAATTCAAAACCAATGGGTACATGAGTACCTTTAGATATTCCTCAATGCTGAATCTAAAAAGTATTGTAGTGAGTTGTATTGTCAATAAAATATTTTGACATGGGAGGCAGAAAATGATATCGGACCTTCTGTCTATTATCTCCTAGAAAGTTCCAGTCAGAAGCCCCACTACAACGAATGGTTGTGCAATTCATTTCAGTGAGTCTCGCTGAGAAGAATTTTTCAATGGATTTGGCCCTTTAGGTAAATCTCTCAGCGTCACAGGAAATAATACCCCAAATTTACTTCTTGAAGATGGTTACATAACTTGCTTCATGGTCAGGGTTGCTTCAGGTGACTAGGGCTATAATCCAATACCCTCTTACCCGAGAGAAAGCCCTACTGAATTCGGTTGGATTTACTTCTGAATAGACATGCAGAGGAGTCTTCTGTAAATATATTTGTGCTACTGACTGTACAACTCCAATGGACTGACCCAAGAGAGAGTGGAAGGGAGGATCTCTGACCTTGTTTGGCAGCTGGACCTGGGGTGGGGGCCGTGGAGAGATGGGCCCACACAAGCAGTGCTGTGTCTCCATGGAGAGCCACGCAGCGATGGCTGATTTCCTGACCACCCGCCCTCCCCTTCTGCTGCTTGTTTCCACCAGCTTCACCTGCTGTACACCACACATAAATGAAAAAAACGTTTGATTCAGATTTTTCTTTATTAATGCACCGGGGGCAAAGAAGTCAGGTCACAATTTGTTGTAACACATTTACAATGAATATTCATGCCTTCTCAGAAAAGTTCAGCAGTGTTTGTTTATGCTTTGATACGAGGTCCCCCCATCATCACTTTCAGCAAGATACGTTGAATAATGTACTGAAAACAGTTCCGATATTGCACACAAACGAATATTTCAAATTCTTGTGCTTGACTAACCCATGGAGAGAGGTTGTGATGCTCAGAGACATCGTTCTACTCCTGGCATAAAAGAAATAATGGTCTGACGTAACCGAGAGGATGTGGGAGAGCTCTTGAATGCAGTAACCTCTGAGCTCTGCTTTAATTATGCTTTCTTCAAGAGGTTCATAATGGACATGGAGTATTGGAGCGCTGAGGGTAGATCAGTAACATTTAATTGTGTTGTTTAGACAAGTTGGCTGCTGGGGCTACTCTTGTGTTCAGTTTTTCATCTGATAACAAGTAAGATGCTTCCAATAATAATGTAACATCCTTGCAAGAGCCATTGGACTTTTCTTTAGAATTGAGGAGCCTTAAGATCAGCCTTACCCAACATGGTGACCTCCAAATGTTGTTGAACTACAACTCCCAGTAGCCTCAGCCAGAATGAGTCAGTGATGAGGGAGTTGTACTCCAAAACATCTGGGGGATACCAGATATGGGGAAGTTGCTTAAGACAATGGCCAACTGCTGCCTAGAAAATAGTTGGGCTTGCAAACAACCTGGTCAGAGTTATATCTATGGTTTGCTAGTTCAGTCTCCAGGCCAAAGACTGGTGCTGGTTTGCATGTTTGTTTCCTGACTTTCTGGAGTAAAGAAAGTGCTTTGTCCCTTTTACTATTAGTACTGAAACTTGTCTTTTTCCACCTGTAGAGCCCTATCCCTTAACTGTAAGGAAACTGGGCCTGGTTTGCACTGTAGATGCTAGGACTCTTCCTTCCCATATATCAGGAATTGGCATAACTAGGGTGAACCAGCTCACATCTGTGCAAGGAAAACTTTTACATGTTGATTCTCAAAAGCCAGATTTGAGGATGCAGATGCATACTGTGCTGGGTGCTTTACAAACATACTTAAATTAGTTTTAATCCAGGGACTAACTTGCCTGGATTCTATCTGCGAGGGATTGCAGTGTTTCAGTAGCTCTAATTAGGAGGCCAAGAGTGATGTGTAAAACAATTTACAGAGAGATCAGCAGCAGCCTAGTTCTCATCAGCTGTATACACAACTGGTTTGCTGTACAGTATTTGTTTGTTATTATCCTGCCTTTCCACCAGATGGTGCACAGGCAGTCTCCTTGCTGCTGATGGCTGCCCTTTGCTCGCATACTTTGCTGTTAGGAACATAGGAATATAGGAACATATTTAGTCAGGCAATTGGTCCATCAAGTACAATATTGCCTACACTGCCTGGCAACAGCTCTCCGTGGTTTCAGGAAGGAGGCAGGTCTACCTGGAAATATCTGGGAGCTTCTGCATGCAATACTTTCCCACTAAGCTACAAACCTTCATGTTGTTTGATATTTTATGGAAGATCACATTTTGTCCAATGCATCGCTGAACATGTGACCTTGGACTTCTTCTTGGCATAAATGGGAAAAGTTCTTCTGAAGCTCTTCTGCTAAGAGGACTTCCATTTTTTAATTTATTTATTTTTGCTTCTTCTGACCTGGCCTAACCATCAGTCTTGGGACTAATCCAGATCTTAACCTGAGCAAAATTATTTTCTTTCTGATTGAGAATGCTCTTTCCTGACCTTGGGTTGGTGCTCGGTCCAATACCTAGGATCCAATGGAATCTTGGTCCAGAGCCTGCACACCTGTCCCAAAACAGGTCCATTCCTGTGAATTGCTCTTTGGTGTTAGGCACAAATCACACTTTGCAGGGCAAATGGTTTGTTGCCCCCAGTGAACACCTGGGATGTGTTAAGAGGAGGAATGGTGTCTGTAAACATGCAGTTGACATTCACCATGGCCAAACCATAATTTTTGCATTTGTGTGTCCCTGTGTGCTTATTATAGCCACATGCCCCCACTGTTAAATAAATGTTCTCAATAGGACCTTCATAAACATGGACCTTGGTCTCCATTTTAATTTTGCTTTCTGGGATTCATCCAGAGAGTTCCTCACTTAGCATGCTCCTCAACAATCTACTTTATTACTAGGTAGCATGCTGTTTTCGCAAAATCTTTCCCAGCTTTCTTTGATGCTGCTGCTTGAAACAGTGCCCCAGTGAGGACACCCCACACAGAGAAAATGCAGAGATTTGTAGGCAGTTGAGAGCCTTTCCTTCTTGATCTACAATCTAGATGAACCAATACTGAGTGGTAAAGGATGAAGCCTTGTGTTGTACATATTAACACACTTGTATGCATAGGCAGGCCTTTTGTTGGGGGGGGGAGGGAGAACCTCAGTTTTCTCTGTATTTTTATTGATTTTTATTAATTTAGTGGCGGTAGCTGCCCCTCCCTGCCCCCCCTGGCTATGCCCATGTGCATAGGTGACAGAAAACACTATAGAATTAACTGTTGCCTTGATGGGTGGGTTTTAGGTCAGTGTATCTAAATAATGCATTATCCCAGAGTAAAAAAATAAAATAAAATTGGGAATCTCTAAGTTATTGACCTACTTCCTGTTGAAGACACTCCCCCCCCCATTTCTTTCTCCCTCCACCCTTCCTTAGATTTTACCACTCTTTTCTCTCTTTCTTCCTTTGAAGGTTGATTTGAGCCTAGTAGCTTTGATGGTTGGTTAGGTGGGTAACTTCTAAAAATGAAAGATTGGGATGGTGTTCAGCTAAGTTTCAGTCTGAGTGGACCCACTGAAATTTCAGTGGGTTTACGCTGAGTAAAACTCAATTCAACATCAGTAAGAGCCAGTGGTTGGGGGAATGATTTGGTGCAATGCATTATTTTGTGTCAAAATCGGGAAACAGTTAATAACATCAACCTGCATGATACATTTCAGAAAAACTGGTTCACCAAAGGCTGAAGCTAGCAAAAAGCATGATTTCAAAAGAGAATTGAGATGCAAGAGAAAAATAAGGCACTTTTTCATACATGTTTTTACATAATCATGTACACGTGGATACAAAAAGCTAAGGTAACTTGATCTCACTTTTAAAAGGAACTGAACTTCATCATCTCAGTCAAGATGAAGAGTAGACTTCCTTTTTTACACACTAAGCAGATACCACTTCCACAACTGAGCAGAGCAGCAATGAAAATGCAGCGGCAGAAATTTTAAAAAAGAAACCATGGATATGATTTTTCTTTTTTAATGCACACAAATTCATCAAAGTGCTTTTTGCTTCCTGGGTAATTTTTGACCATTTAATTACAGCACACATTAAACAGCAAGTAGAAAATGATATAGAACTACTAATTATCTAGACAATTATTACTGTTGCTTATTCTGGAGATTAGATCCCCCCCTTTTTTACAGAGTATGCTTTTGTAAGCTGTGAATTATTTTTGCTGCTATCATATAACAGAGGAGCAGATGATGGCATTGGTAACAGAAGAGAAAACCTTATATAATATGGCTGCCTATCTTTTAATTTTAAACAAAATCTATAATTTCCTGCTACATAAGTAGTAAATCAATTTTAAGTATATTAGAAATGCTCAACTACTTTACAGGTGTAGTTATTCACACACACAAACAATTATTTTATGCACATGTAATAATATATGGATATAATTTATTTCCTAATCTATCACTGAATAAACAAGTATTGACTATGGTATATTACAATATTTACAGTTGTCTTCTGTTTTTATACATACATTCAGCAACAACACAAAAGCTTTTCCACACTCCATCTGCTGCCTCACTCCATAATTTTGCACTTCAAATATTTGTAAATGTGTAAAGAAGGAGATTGTTTTTCCAAGTCAGCACAGAATATAGATGAAGAATCTTCTTTGGATGAAATCTTAGTGAAATGGAGGACTTCAACAGATGAGGGTTACAACCTCCACTAACACTCAGAGGTAGCTTTGATCAGTCTTGTTACTGCAGCTAGCTTGAAAATCATTTTTTTCTCACTGAGAATGATATGTTGGAAATAATTGTATGGGGGGGGGAGAATCTGCACAACTAAACACATATAGATAAAAATGAACTATTTCAAGTCCTATGCAAATGCATTGGGTATATACCGTATTTTTCTGTCTATAAGATGCCCCCTACTTTTTGGGACTTCAATTTAAGAAAATGAGGTGAGATGGCCCAGAGTTTTTTGGGGGAGGATTGCCAAAGTTGTTGAGCCACGAAAATCACTCACCCGACACTGAAATCTCACGCGTCACAGAAGAAAACAAGCGTCAGCCCACTCACCGCCAGCAGACACCAATTGCACACACAGTTGCCACAGCAACAGCCAATCCACAGCAGCCCTTGTCGCAGCCACCAATCAGCCACCCAATTGCCGCCGCCACAGCCAATCCTAAGCAGCCTTTGCAGCAGCCACTAATCACCCACCCAATCGCCGCTGACAAGTTCCTGCTTGCAGCTGCAACCAATTGCCCGTCCCGCATATGCACTATCCGTGTATAAGACGCCCCCCCCCCCCGATTTTTAACATTATTTTAGAGTAAAAAAAACCTCATCTTATACACGGAAAAGTACGGTACTTCTGAGTGATAATCTCCACTGGATTCCCTTTTCCCATACCTCTGATCCTTTTAGGGAGTGGAGTAGGGGGCAGATGGGATTACTCTGGCTTTGAGCCACTGCAGGTTGAGTCTGGTTTCAGGTAAGGCTGTCTAATCTCAGAATCATGTTCTGTGTGGCTCGATTTCTCAGTACCGTAGATGAGTGCAAAGTTCCCATTTGGTCAGACTCTCTTTTGAAGTTATTTGTGCAATGGGATTTTGCCACAGGGGCAAATCATTCTGATGGATACTATATGCAGGCACTTGCCTTGGGGCAGGCGGGCAAGAGAGAGCACCAGTCTCCTCCATATCCCCACCACACTTATAGCACAGCCACCCAGTGGCACTGGTTTGGGGTTGCTACACGGCAGGGGGCCCTGTCACGGCAGAGGTGTGGCTTCAGCTTCCAGAAGTTCCAACTGAAAGGAAAGAAATACAGTGAGAGAGAAAAGAAATGAGCTAATTTCTCCACCCTGCTGCTTGCAAATGATGCTGGGCGAATTTGCTCAGCATGAGCCATCCCTTTTTCAGGGGGCAAATCAGAGTGGAGCCATTTTGAGGTGGTAGGAATACCCTTTTACATGACAACAAAGTCTGAGGAACCCAGGCTAGTTCCAGTGTAAACCTTGATGCTTCATCTCTGCAATACATGCAATGTATCTGATACATCACTAATGTATTTTCTTAGAATAAGTAACCCAATCTGAGGCAATAGATGGCTTGGTAGGAGACCCAAGCTTCCAATTCCATTCACTCCCCTGGTAGTCATGGAGAAGCCATCATCTTGCAGCCTCAGTTACTCCTGTGTACATGGTAATCAGTCTGCCTCTCAGGACTCCTTTTGATACTGGATGAGCTAAAAATTGCACAACAGTATCTGAGTGTAAAATACAGAACTGCAGGATGGAAAATAGAAGCAGTGGACATGGACACTTCTCCTGAGTGGGGTAGAGCTGCTTCTCAGTGGTGAGGCATCAGCTTTGCATGCAGAAGGTCACAGGTTTAAGCCCTAACATCTCTAGGTAGGGCTGGGAGAGCCTTTTCTGATATCTTGGAAAGTGGTGACAGTCAGCATGGACAATATTCAGTTGGATGGACACAAGTGGCCTGACTCATTCTAAGGCAGCACCCCATGTTGCACTTCCTTCAAAAGACTCTACTGCCCCATAGGCTTGGAACTGTCTCTCAGATCAGCTGGGTGATGCCATTTCTCTCTCTTACCTCAAAACCTTTCTAAAAGCCCATCTGGTTGAAACTGACCTATTATCCCAGAAAGGAGGTGGGCAGTTGCAAGATTAAAGGAGAAAATATCTGAAGGTGCACACAAAGAAACATATTTGCTTTTCAGGTTTCAAGTTAATAACCACCAATAGAACCACAATGTTCAAGAAGTTGTCAAAATGGATCTGCTTCTTAAATTCAAAGTGTGGATTCCTTTTAAATGTTGGGATTCCCACCCCACTCCAACACACACTGTGCACATCCCCCACAACTTCTCACTAGGGATGGAAGGAGCTGTCAGTTTTTGTTCTTAATTTCCAAGCCTAAATTCAGTTCTCCACTTTTCTTCAGCAATTTGCAAGTTTTGTTTTTTAAAGTTTCAGTTCTCATATTGTTTCAGAAAGTGTGGATTTGTTTTTCAGTGTGAACTGAATCAAATTCCGCCACCATTCCTCCTTCTCACCCATGCAAACTTCCTCTCTCCCCAGTTGCCAACATTTCACACTCCATAAGTTGTTTCTAACATTATCTTCGCTTTCTCTAGCAACATGCCAACATGAGAGTGATTTGTGGGAAAAGTTCATTTGTAGATCCATTTGGACTTTGAAACTGAGATGGCAGTTCCCTTTGTGACAAGCTTTTGGTCAACTGTTCAGTGTCTGCCTTGTGGGTTCATGTTATGAAACTTGTAGTTCAGAACTTCAGAAGATTCTTAATAATGAAATATTCTACCCAGAGGACGGGGCAGGCTGGGCAGAGCTTCATCTTGATATCTTCACCGAGTTGAACAAAGTTTCATTAACCTACACCAATTGAAAATTTGGACCTACACAACCCAGACTATATAGAATATAAAAATACAACACACACTATGTTACATAACATATCAAACACAGAGTACAATTGTTCCTTTGCTTCAATGGGTCCTTTGTAGACTGCATTAATAGATGTTCTCTTTTCTGTAGCCATTGATGAAAAACTATTGTTTGAAACCTGACCCTATTTTTGAATGTAATGTTATCTACAGTAATGTCTTAAGCAACAATCCTATCCTCAGGCCACTAAAATCCAGTTGATTTCAGCAGTATTTAAGCATTTTTTGTTTATGACTGCAGACTCACATTGCTACTACTAAGTAAAAACACCCCCATCACTTTTAAGGTTTTATTTTTAAAGTTGAAATGCTGGGAAAACAAACAAATTCAACAAAAATATGAGGTAGTTCTCATTTCCTCCTTCACCTGCTAGAGGGCCATGGAACAGTTTTGAAAATGAGTCATATAAATAAGAGGTATAGCAAGCGGAAAGGAAATGATCCCAGAATGTCCCTACACAGTGGGTTCCTTTTAAATTTAGGAGCATTCTGAAGAGCTGCAGTCCTATGGGCGTGTGTGCCATTCACAAGATTTAGCATGCATCTGTAGCTTTGGGAAGCAGTACGGTCTGTTTCAGAGCTGTTCTGTATCTTTCCTATTTAACTCATTAATTGGGACCAAAATCCATCTGCTAACAGTAAAGCTTCTCTGGCCCACTTTCACTATAATGGGGAATCTGAAAATAGTGATTCTTTTCTTTTCACAGAACTAGATGAAATTTGCAGGAATAGCAGCCCTGTCCCCCCATTGGATCACACCTGCCAAATTGTAGGCAGATATATCCAGGGGATTTGCATGCAGGGTACCTTTGAAATTTGATATTAAAAAAGAAAAAGAAAATATTTTTCATTTTGTTCCAGAATTGGATAGAATTTGCAGGTATTATCACCTCCTCTGATGGGGTGCAGCCTGCACATTTCAGAATGATAGTTGCAGTGGTTCTCCCAAACACCTGAAACTAGCCTGCTGCCCTCAGGTGCAGTGAAGAACACTATCCCATTGCCAGTATTGAAATAAGAACTGGCTGTCAGACCAGTCAGTTTCTGTACATGGAATTGGGGGTTGTTGCCATCCCACCACTTGCCTCAGATGCTAAAATGCCTTGGGCAAAATCTCCTGGCTAAAATAAACATTGGAAAGGATGCACATGTGGCATTTTTGGACTGATGCAGTAGGACACGGGCCTTGAACCTGAATCTCAGAACTACTTCAAATGAAGAATGCGAAGAGAAATGGAAAGCTGGAGAGCTGAATTAGAGTAGTGGGAGGACTCAGTTTAATTCCTTGTTCAGCCATGAAACTCATGGAGTCACCTTGGACTGGTTCCCTATCATGCCATCCAGCCAAACCTACCTCACTTGTTGTGGTGAGGATTAAATTGCAGCAGGGGAAGGGAGAACCACACATACTCACCTGAACTCTGTGGTTATGAATGCTATAGATAAGAATGAAATTTTACAATATTGCCAAGTGCCTACAGTTCGCCATTTCAAGGCAAGGTTCAACAAACCACACAGGCAAAGTGGGAGGACTTCATAAATATTCCTAGATTTTTCACCTAAGTTGGTCTTTTCTTAGAAACAGGCACATAAATTCCTTTAATGTGCCAATTTTAGAGTACTTCTGTTAGACAAGGGCACTCAAAGTTCCTGTTGAAACATTAAGGCATTTAGGAGGCCTCCGTAAGTTTACCATATCTCCATACCAATATTAGTAGTGTGACCCCTTTCCCCATCCTCAGAGTCATCGAATTTCAGTTCAGCCACAATGCTCGTCTCAAGATAATGAAGTAACACTTTTAAATGATCTTGATATCTTTGCTTGCTACTTAGAGTTGGTAACTACACTTCAGGTAAATTCTGAGCAGGCCTTGATTGGAGAGATTTTACAGCTTTAGATCTGGGGACCCAAACCAGCTTGCAAAAGGAGCATCTATTCCCTTCTCCTGCTGCTCTTCACCAACAGCAACCTTGTTAACTGTCTGATCAGCTGTCCCTTATTTCTGCAATGATTTCTCCACCACCATTGCAAATGCTCACCATGCATGCACAATGAAAATCTGTCATGGAGCCCCAGAAATGTGGTCTGTGGTGGAGGACAAAGGGGAGGAATTACTAAGAAGAGGAAGAGAGCCACCACAGAGGATAAAGAAGAAATATGCAAAAGGGCCAGACTTGGAGAAAGGGTTGTTTGAACAATTCTGAAAGTAGGGGGATCTGTGTATCACATGAGTGGTTGGTAGCTGTGATGGGAATCAACCCTGGCAGTTACTCTTTACAAAACGAAGGTGAAACAAACCTGTACTTTGGGTAGTTCACAGGGCTGGGATATTGGGGCAAGTACTGTTGGGCACCGACAGATGCTGAACACTAGTCCTCTAGAGCTGCTGGCCCCTCTCCATGGTGTTGCTCCCTCTTCACTTGTCCCCTCTAAGCTTATGAGCAGTGGCAGGAGCAAAGAGAAGAACGAGCATCCTTCAAGTGCCTTTTCTTTCCCTCTGAACATTTGTGTGGATTGTGCCCAAGGAGCACAACAGAGGGCATCTTTCCCAAGAACACCTTTCCCCAAGACACACACACACATGCCCCTGGAATGAGCACTGGGAATACCTCTACTGAATAAATTGTGAATACTCAATAGAAGATCAGGGGCTTGTTGTGAGTTCAGCCCAACCGAGCTTGCTCACAAAAACACCTCCCCATTGTGAATTTCCATATGACCCATTGCAAAATAGATAGCTATTTCAAGGTGAGATCACAGCCAAATAATTCTATGGGCTACTTGTTCACAAAAGCCATGGTAGGAAAATGGATCATCAGGGTCTGCTCATGTAGTATGAATCATAGTGATGCAGACATGTCTAAAAGTATTGACTGAAAGTCTATTGCTTGCCAATCAGAAGTCTAAAGAAGGAGGGCTATCAAGGGCCCTGTGGGCTGGCAGTAAGGCCAGGTGCTAGAAGGGCTGATAGACCTTAGTTACATTGATTCTGACTGGGTACAAGGCAGTTCTTAAAATATATACAGTTCTAGAATGTTAAGCAATAGCAAACATTCTGTTGCTTCAAAAACTATGAAAGCATCTCCTCCTTTCTCAGCTATGGAATAAATATCACAATGATACACAGACAAGGGCCTGGCCATGCAAGGTACACCTGGGAGCTCTCTAGTTTCCCAAAACCCAATTGGGACTGATGATGTCTGGATTCATCATTCCATGACTCCCCAGCTAGGGAAGATAAATCAAAAAGAGTGGCACATCTTCCCGAAGCTACACATCAGTAAAGACTGTAATTTCAGAATTCATGTCATCTCCAGGAGGGATTCCCGAATCCAGAGATGACATCTCCACTGCTAGTCATACCTGCTGGTTAGTCCTATCCACCGTGTTGGCGGTGGAGGCATGCTCGCGAGTGTTTTGTCGGATGTGGGTGGAGTTTTGTTGCTCCATGGTTGAAGCTGTGGGGATGCAGAACTCTCTGAAACACCTTTTGAAGTTCTCATCTAGAAAGGCATAAAGGACGGGATTAAGGCAGCTGTTTGTGTACCCTAAAGCAATACAGAAGTGCCAGGAGACGGTCTGGAAAGTAGTTTCTGGGATATGGATCAAGGCTTTAATGATAACGTAAATATGGATGGGGGTCCAGCAGACGATGAAGACAGCCACAACCACGAGGACCATCCTGGTGATCCTTCTAAGATTCCTGTCCTTCTCCTTGGAGCCAGAGAGCATTCGGACACTCTTCAGGCGTAAAATCATGAGCCCATAGCATACCGTGATAATTAGGACAGGCATGATGAAGGCAAAGATGAAAACACAGATTTTCAGCAAGTTCTCCCAATACCATGCTGGGTGAGAGAATATAAGTGTGCAATCAACAGATCCTAGGAGGAAAAGAAAAAGAAAGAAATGAGGTTTGAGAGAATTATTTATTTACATTTAATCCTGTTCTTCCTCTTGCCCCCTCCATCCAAGGCCATAACTCTACTGTGATGCGAGCCTGTAAGAAAACTCACTGACTTTTAGTGTGATGTTTACAACATAGAATTTTTAGGGGGGGGGAGATTCAGTGTTCAAAAGGTCAATAAGGGCAGGGCCACACATACAAGTCCCACTCCAAATGTCCCTATGTATGTCTGCCTGTTCAGTCCCTGAACTTCTCATGTTGACTGGGAGTTGTCTGCAGAATTTTTATTCATGTTTGCTTGAAAATGAGCGGAACCCTCTGCATAATCAGGGACCTTGATAAAGTGCTTCTGTGCAAGGAAAAGATCCCTGAATAGAGTCTTGTTGGCTTAAATGAGCCTATTTTCCATATAGAAGCATTTCTCTAAAAAGAGAAAATAGGAGGTAAGATTCACATAACTAGGCTTCCTTAAGCTGACCAGCAATAGTTTTGGGCAAAAGGCATCACTTTGACTGTTAGATAGCTTAGTGGAATTCATAGCTGTCTCCTTCCTTCCTTCCTTCCTTCCTTCCTTCCTTCCTTCCTTCCTTCCTTCTTTCCAGTTAGGAGCAAAAGAAAGTCGGAGATAATTTACTATTTAATAACAAAAAGTGTCATTCACTGCTATTAGAAAAAATCATGTTAAATATCTTGCTTTTTCATTCCCTGTTATAAGTAGCTATCTAATTCTAAAATAATTTAAATATAAAAGTGTGCCTTTACATCACAGTGCCACCACTTAAATTGGGTCTCCAGCACTAAATGAACCGCAACTTATATACATTAACTTGGGAGCAAGTCCCACTGGAATAGACCGGCTTACTTTATAGTAGACAAGATATAATCCCATTCTTAGCTGATTAGTTTATTGATTAACAGCAAAACCTTATATGTACTTATGTAGATGTTATTCCCACTGTCTTCTAAGGGGATTACTCCCAGGAAAGTGGGTGCAGGATTGTATCCTAAACTGCTTAGTTTCTATGGGTTACATAAAGAGAGACAGATGTAGCCAAAAAATAAAAACTACTTCTAAATGAGGCTCCGTTTATGCAACCATAATGTTCTTTGCAGCTTCTAGAAATTCTTCTTTCTACCCACATAATCACTGTCTGATGGAAGTGTGTGAAGAACCAACAAACCTTCAACAACTCTATTTTGCATCATACTTGTGGCCTGGCTTGTTCTTTTGCTAGAGTGTCGGCCTCTGTTTTTAGGTAAACATTATTTCTCATTAGGTATTAAAATATCCTATTTTGACACATTCCCAGTAATCACTGTGACTCATGTTTTATGTATGTGTATACCAAATTTCCTACTTCTGGGTGTTCTGGAAGTACCTTAATGTTTAGGAGGGTATCATTCCTCTCCATCTTGATATTAATTTTCAAATGTCCTCCCTTTAAGATCCACTTCCCATTTCCATAATCAGTGTGTCTCAATGTGTGAACCAAATGTCCAATTTCTCACTAGAGTGGAAGAATCACCATTTGGGGGTGGGTGCCTTTTGAGTCCCCCATTTGAGTGTGAGGTATAGAAAAGTCCCCTTTTCATTGTAAATTACATGTGCTACTAAATTTTCTGACTTTCACTGGAAGGTAACCTAGAAATTTGATTTCTGCATGAGTTTCTCTCTCTTCTTCATTCCCTGCCTTCCTGCCACTGCTGAAATAACTGAGCATCTGGAAATGGTCTGTGAAATCCTTACTCACCATTGCTCTCTTTGGTGGTTGCCATCACCATAACTGGGATGCCGATGGCTGAAGAAACAATCCAGTTACAGACGTTGACAATTTTGGCATTTCTGGGGGTGCGGAAATCCAGAGCCTTGACTGGGTGGCAAACTGCTATGTAGCGATCCACACTCATCGTGCAGAGAGTGAAAATACTTGTGAACATGTTGTAGTAATCTATGGAGATAACAATCTTACAAATGGCGGTACCAAACGGCCATGTTCCCAGGAGGTAATTCACACTTTGGAATGGCAGTGTACTTGTTGCCAAGGCATCTGCCAGGGCAAGGTTGAAAATATAGATGTTGGTAGCAGTCTTCATTTTGGTATATCTAAGAAAGTCAACAAAGCAGAGGAATGAAAAGCTATAACAAGATCAAACACAGTTATAACCAGACTAGTGTCTGATTTGAGGACTAGGGATTAAGAATATCGTATTTTTGTGCTTTGGTCCAGCAGTATAGTACAGAAAGAATTTTCGGGTGGGGGGGGGACTCAGTATCAAGCTTATCTGTAGATATTTTATCCCTAATTCCCATTTTTCTCCTTGATCTTGATGAGAAGCGTGCTATTTCCCCCCACCTGTTCTAGTAGTAGAAATATAAACATTTCTCATATATTATATACATAATTAGATAAATAATTTTATGCACATATTTTGTACCTATTCATTCTGGGTTTCCTACAGGAACAAGCACATAAACAGATACATACAATAATGTATATAACTGTATATAAATACTTATTTATTAATACTTATAAAACAATGTTCTTACAGAGAGGAGAGCGGAACTATCCATCATGCCATTGGAAAGCTATTCTAGGCAGGGTGCGAATGCCCCTCCTGTACTGGAGTTTTGCTCTGTCCTGTTCTTCTTGTGGGCCACTTAATTGAGGTGGTAAGCAAGGTGGCTATTTCACAGCATCTTACCGAATGAGAACCACAGTGATTTTAGATCTCTTCTATGGACACAGCCCCAAAGCTCTGCTTCACTCATTGTAGTTGGGATGCTCTTAAGTATCAATGGCATAAACTCCTGTTTATACCACTACAGCTAAAACAGTCCCATAGGACAAGGCTGCCCATTCCACTGAACAGAATTCAACTGAGGTACTTGGGTTTAACTGCCCTGTATGCTGCCGAAGAGCAACAAATAAATGTCTACCACAAAGCATCGTTGAACCCAACTCAAAGGGCAAAGGGGTCTGCAAGAAAGGCATTTGATGCCTGCGTTTTGAGATATCTAAGAGAGATCAAGAGCAGGAAGGCATGGCTTAAGCGGAGATGTACTCTGGCTGGTTGCATAAATTCACTTTATGTGCTTCCTGTCCTGCACCTGGCAATAGTCACGTGGATTTTGCACAGCTTTAGCATCCACACAGGCCTCTTTATATGTGAAGAGACTGAAAAATAAAACGAGTATTAAAGAAAATGCACTAACTCATAACATGTTTAGCACAACCCTTGTCCAGAGCCTTTATCAATAGCCTTAATGGAGGGGGGGGGTCTCACTGAGGACATTCCCCTTCTCAAACCTGAGATCAGCGTGAAGATAGTAGGGTTGTGTGAGCATAAGGACAGCTCTTTTTCAAGCTAGGGTTCTGATGCTGACTCAATCCCATCTAAATCTCATTTTTGAAAGAAACCCCTTACTCTGTCTCCCTAAATTTATGGTGCCTTTTTGCATATGTGCTCCTGCTGTGGCAGAATATCCTGGAGCTTATTCCTTTAAGTCACTAGAATTAAATTATAGGTTGCCCCACTTGACTATGCTACCTGCTTGATATTCAAAGGCTGCAATCCTATCCCAGTGACTAGTTATTTGCTAAGCCAAACAGGCCAGACCCTGTTACTCTTGACTTATACTGTATGTACACACAATTCATAAACCAACCTGAATTCATAAACTGTGCTAATGATATTCCTGAGGAAAAGAAGCAGGCATACCAATGTTTCTCTGGAAAGGTCTCTTCTATCTGATGCTGCAGTACTGGTACCCATTATAAATTGCTGCCCTGGGCAACCATCTATGCAGCTATTGGGAAATCTGGTTAAGAAATATGTGCTGTCCAGCTACTCAAATAGTATCATTTACATTTTTATTAACCTCCTTCTTCATTTTCTCCCTATTACATTTTATATTCTTAGGTTAGGCCATGTTGCATTTTGTCCTATCTTTATGATGAAGTTGTCTCATTTTTCCACACCTATAAAAAATAGCATATTTCTCCATTTAAGAAAGATGATTTCCTGTTTGTGAGGGCAGTGTTTACATTGCTCCTTTATTGTTACCGAGTGAGAATAGGACAGATAAGGAGCCGTATTCAAGATGGAATATGTAATACCCACCTCCAGAGTTTTTCTATGATTAAAGTTATTTTCGCTTTGACACTTTCTCATAATTTTGTTTCATGGTTTTTATTACATATTTATGACAGGAGCCAAAGCTAAATGAAAAAGAGGCGATACCAAGCATTTTATTTGTATTTCTTTATTGCAATCCAAGCAGTACAACTCGAGATACTTGGCAGAAGATCTATTATTTTCCTTCCAATATAAACTCATAAGATGCTCCCAATTCTCTTTTATTTGCCTTCCCCAGATGGGTGCTAATATCTTTTCCAAATGAAATTTCTGTTAAGCAATGTACATAAGCATTCAGGTACATAAGCAACGCCAGCAAGTGGCTGCGCTAAGGCTTTTGACCATTAAGGGCAGAATTACACTTAGTAGGGCTTGGAAGCCAGGATGGATTGAGAAGTCCTGCTGCAACTGAAACCTTTAAGAGATGTCACTAGTCAATGTAGACAGTCAGGATGAGGCAGGAGATGGCTTGATTAACTGGCTACAGTAAGGTTTGTGTTTGTATTCCATGCTAAAAAATCAATCTACAACAAGATCTGTATAAATGATGCATGCTAGTTTATATTTTCTTGTCTTGTATCATCTTTTTTGCTGCTTCTACCCATTTTGAGGGGCAAAGATCTAGACAGGCATTGAAGGCTCATCCTTAGCTACTAAAAGTGTTACTTCACTCCTTCCAACTTCTGAGACTGACAGCACAATTCTCTTCATGCTATTTAGAAGGAAACCCCATGGAATTAAATGGGGTGCCCCACAGGTGTGAGTATAGAATGGAATTGCCCCCTCGGTTTCTCACTGTGAAGCTCAAAAGGCTTAAACATTACATTTTAAAAAGGGAGGGAGTAGTAGTAATCGTAGTAATTATTATTATTATTATTATTATTATTATTATTATTATTATTATTATTCCCCACCCATCTGCCTGGGTTTCCTCAGCCACTCTTCTAACACTAGAAGGGAATTTCTCAAGGATTCCAGAACTTGACATTATTTGGCATTTAACCCCAACTTCTTGAATTTTGAACATTGTCACATTATTTTTTTTGCATTTGAAAATGTTGCAATATAATAGATACCCCTGGTTCTACTGTTGTGGAATCTCTGCATGTTTACCTATGAAAGGTGTGCGAAATGCTACCCTACTCCACTTCTTTCCATCTCATTGTTGTAGCTCTGACCTTGGTCATTGGGCAGCTGATCATACGAGACAAAGAGTGCCTTTTGGTTTGGGTATCAATTGTAACAAGACATCAAGGAGTACCTGTCCCAGTTTTGCAAAACTAGTGCCTAAAATAGTGCTTCCCAAACGTGGGTCTCCAGCTGTTTTTGGACTACACTTCCCAACATCCCTGACCAATGGTCTTGCTAGCTAGGGATGATGGGAGTTGTAGTCCAAAACCAGCTGGAGACTCAAGTTTGGGAAACACTGGCCTAGAAGCTATGGGATAAGGTTAAAAAAGTTGAATCCTGACAAGAAAGACATGATGCTATCAAGAGCAAGATCCTAGGCTCTTGAGTGAGGGTTTGTAATAGGAAGTATGGTAATCATCCTTTGCAGACATAGTGCTCAATCAGAGCTGATTGCTATAATAATAATAATAATAATAATAATAATAATAATAATAATAATAATAATAATTTATTTCTACCCCGCCCATCTGGCTGGGTTTCCCCAGCCACTCTGTTCTGATCTTTTGTTCTGATCTATGGCTGAAGAGTGGGCTTTCCCTTGGGAAGGAGTGGGGGAAGGGGAAAACCATTCAGACCCATGCTTTCTAGGCATGGCAAATGGAATTGTGGGCGACCTGTGAGATTGACTGCTTCAAAATGTGCTTTACATGCGATTGTCCTTGGAGACACATTGCAAGTGGTTTTTGCTTGCCTCCGGAAAATATTAAGTGGTGACAACATATTTAGCCAATTCTGCACCAAGCTAAATTGGCTACCTTGAAAGCACTTCTTGGCCTGGGCTGGAAGTGACAAGCCAGAGTCTTTAATTTCCTGAATGAGCCCCTGCATTGACTGTTTAGGGACTGCATTTCAAGCCTTCCCTACAGAGCCTCACTGTATGAGTTAAAACATCCCTGCATAGACTAGAGCCTTTGCCACAATAGCTTAGAATTACCTCCCCAATGAGGTCAGAATCCACTCTTCCCTCACAGCCGTCTTGGAGAGACTCCAAAATCAGGGAGGTTTTTTGGCTGCTGCAGCAGTTGGTAGGTTGCCCAGATTTCAGCTCACAATCATTGAGTTTTGATTTGTATTTTACTTTGGGTGTTTTGTGTTTAATTATTGTTTTAAAAATGCTTTCTTACATTTTCTTAGAGCTGCGTGAAAGTGCTATACAAATATTTTAAATAAACTGACAATTCATTTTCTACCTTAGCAGCAGACTAAGAAAACCAAACATTTCATCTGAAAGAAAATCACTCAAAGATGTTATTTTTAACTATACATGTTTTAAATGGTGCTTTTAGCAAACTTTACTGAAGACAATATGACTGATTACATCCACAGCAACTAATGCAACATTCCAGTGATTCTCAGTACGCAGCACTGCCTGGTCCACTTCATATGTGTAAAAGGCTGCTATCATTTTGACTGAAAGCTCCATCCTAAAAATACTCTTTGGAAACGGACTGCGTAGCCCCCAATGCAGCTGTTCAAACACTTTGATTCTACTTCTGTTTAGATCTAGCTCATGGCCTCTCTTCCTACAGCAAACAGGCTTATGGGGCAGGGGAGTACATTTGGCATTAATGACAGCTTCCCTCTGAAGCCTAGATAAATGTTTATTACAATGAAAAAAAATGCAATCCCTGGCCATCTCACAATGCTAAAGTAAGCTCAAAAATGCACCCCCATCCAATTTCTAAAGCATTTCTAATGTGCCTTGAAGATGGGGCATGAAAACCGAAGCCTCCTTTTCAGAGGAAGAAAGCTTCTGGGAAACCGAAGGGAAAAAAT